TGGTTGTGAAAAAAGAAACATGATGGGCTTGTTGTGCCCTACAATTATCAAACAAAGACAATTCTATCATGTAAGTAAGACACTATAGAAGATTTGATGAAAAAAACAGAAAGTGTAGTCTGGGACTCTCCCTCTCTATTGTGGTTCTTGACTTCCTTCTGGTGGACTCCAAGCTTGACCCAGCAGAGTGCAAAGTGGTGGCTCAGGGCAGCTTCAGATTTGCTGCCTTTTCTGTATAAACTTAAAGGAAGCTTTTCATTTCTTATTCTACTAGCAGGCGCCTCTGGTTTATTGTCCTCAGATGGTGTCATGTTATACACACATATTCAAGGCAGCAGTCAATCCACTAAAAGTACACACATTGAAGCATTGTCTTCCATTGTGATTCCCACCTGTGGTTGTGGCAGAGTAGTGCAACTCAACCCAACCCAGATCCCAAACCACATGGACTGATATATATATATATATATATATATATATATATATATAGAGAGAGAGAGAGAGAGAGAGAGAGAGAGAGAGAGAGAAAGCTGTTCCTCAGACAGTCAGTGGGTGGTGAACAGGTAAAACAACAGACATTAGAGCAAACTTTACAAAGACTTTTTTCCCCTTCCTTTCTTCTCTTCTGTGTGCTTCCCCTCCTTCCCTCCTTTCTTCTTTCCCCCTCCTTTCTCCTCCACTTTCCATGCATTTTCCTTTTTAGTCCATTTTCTTTTCACCTGCCATATTTTTACCTCCCTCTTCCTTCATCTCTAATTGCAATTCATTTTGTGGATGGTGGAATTGAGACTATAAAGGCACTCACAAGGCCAGTTGTCTGGGACTGAGCGGGCACGTAATCCAGCCAGATTCTCTGATTGAGGTCAAATTCTCTGAATGTGGCCGGATTCTCTGAATGTGGCTGGCCCGGAGTCTTTCTGAAAAGCCATCGACAATGACACTGGGACTTGTTTCCTCTGCATATACTGGATTTTTGGGATCCAGTCTGTTTGGATGCTCACCTTCCTGGACCTGGAGGGAGGGGGGAGGAGCTTGGACTGCCCGCAGGGCGGGAGACCCTGACTGCTATTGGGGATGGAGAGGGAGGAGGGGAGGGAGTGGGGGTAGTGGGAGGGTGTTGGGAGGAGGGGCGGAAATGGAGACTTTTGTATTTTAATAAACTTTGAGGAAAAAAAAATAAAGGCACCCACAGAAAGTCAGCTTTTAGCAAGATGAAGCAATAGTGGAGCAGGTGAAGACCAAAGGAAGACCAAAGAAATTCCCTTTCTGTCACTGGGAATAAAAGGAGTCTCTGTATTTTCCTCACATTCTCAGTATTCTGTGCTAACATCAGAGACTTTAGAATAATTCTAGTAATTATTCTTCTCGTCTGCTACTTGACTGCTTCCCCTCTCCCTCCTATACCTCCATCCTTCTTCCCTTATTTTTTCTAGTCTATAAGCAAATTTAGAGCAGCTACTCTTTGACCACAGTACTGGACATGAAATACGAAACCATAACACTTCTCAATCAGATGGCTATTTTATCCCAAAAGAATACCCCTGGGTTCTTTTCTGTGTCTCTCCATTTCTTTAACTTTGAGAGGACTTGAAGGAGCAAAATAGTGGAAATTGACTATTCATATCATATTTTCACCCCAGGATTTTGCAAAAATTACTTTTTTTTTCATAAAATGCGTCTATAAAATGATCACCTCTTGGGCATCAACTTGTGTCACAAAAGCTAAAGTTGTGTGTATTGGGCGACAGATATTAACTTAAGTATAAAGGGCTAAGAGTGTCTTACCTGTACTGGGAGCTGCCTCCTTTTTGGTCAGGGTGAGCAGACCCATAGATTTTCTTTCTATCATCTGTTAGTCTGTGGTAAGTTCTCCTGAACTGTCAATATTCTCCAGAATTTACTCTCACAAGAACGCAATAAGTCTTGGAAATGTCAATGATTTAAGCTTTGTCTATATTTGTCTTCCCCACGAAGGAAACATTTTTACATCAGATTCAAGTTTGCTAAAGTATCTACAGCTAAGAAATATCTTAGGCTTTAAATTTTGCAACCAGTTCCTGGGTCTTAGCACGGAGACATTAGATCATTCTTGGTACTTATGACTACACAACAGAAGTAACATCTGGACAGGAAATAAATTGTTCAAAGAGGTTTGGATATGTGTTATGCAATAGAAAAAATACTTTTATCTTAAAAATATTTTATAAATATGAAGGTTAATGTTTTTGTTTAATTGGTTATTTATTTTGCTTAATTTTAACTTACAGTAACAAAGGTTTTTTTTTAATAGTACATGTTAATAGTGCATCAGTCATGCTTCTGTGTCAAAAGGACATCAAAGTCAACATCAATATATGATGGGATTTCACTAGGTTTCCTCTTGGGGTTTTTACTATACCCTACATCTACCATTGATTTAGGAGAGGAAAACTAGTCATGTTTCTTTAGAATTACACTCAGTGTGCCAATTTTGGACTTGCCAAAAGAAACACTCCTCTTGTGAAGCTGAAAGCCCTGGGTGGGTGCGTGGAAGATACGATGATGACCAAAGGAGGAGATAACAAGAAATCCCCAGCCTTTCACGGGCATAGTATCTTCGGTGGGTTTCCAGCAGACTGCCAACCTTTTGTGATGTCAGCAGTGACATTCAGAGTTAAATCATTTCAACTATCCTTTTCGTTGTGAGTTTTAGTAGGAGTTTCCAAGACCATGGCCAAACATAAGATCTCAGTCTGCATAGGGTAGCTGTTGAAAGCATTTGGCTTCTAGTATACTGTAATTTCTGTCATCTAAAATATTCTCAGAAGTGCTGTGGACTTAGATACAAGGCATGTGCACATTCCCAAGAAGATTTTCTTGATCACATCTTTTTTCTAATGATATTCTGCAGCAAGGCCGTCAAAGCTATGAGAATTTATTTGTTAGTAACAACAACAACAAAACAAAAAAACCCAGGGCTCACAACCACCTGTAACTAATGTTCCTGAGAATAAGATGCCTTCTTTTGATCTCTAGCACCTGCACACTGACAAACAAAATCACATAGACACATACCCACATTCACACACAAACACACATACACACACACACATACACACACACATACACACACACATATATATATATATACAAACGTGTATATGTATGAATGTATGTAATTGCAAATCTATACTGTGCCAAAGAGGATTATCCATAACATTGCTTATTTTGCAGCCTTGGTGAAAAAGAATAATTTCTAGTTCAGAGTGTTGTAAATTAGATTATTTTCAACGATATTAGCCTCCTCTTTGTTTATCATCAGGATATCAATGCACTTCCATTATTCATAACTTTGAGAGTGACTGCTATTTATTTTATACTGAATTAAAAAGATACAACCAAAAATTTACAATGTTCTGTGTGATAGGCTCAGGTATTTGGATGTCTGCTAATTTTTTAAAGATTTTCTTATGTACATGTGCATGGAGTGACGCCAACCCAGATGACTTAGCAACCCAAAGACAAAACACAAGCCTATTAAGAACTTTTGAGGCTACTGTTGTTTGTTACACATAGCTTATTTAGACAGAGTCTAGGCATTCCTTTAGAACGAACATAGCATAAAGTGGAGTTCAGTATCATAGTACATCCATTTAAGTGAAACTTGCTTAGTTATTTAAATTCAGTATAAGCGGTTATTGATTATTAAGGCTAAGATGTAATGCTGTTTAACACATAAATATGGAATAATCTGTTCAAACAGTATGTGAGTAGTTAGAAGCAAGGATCCGGATAGCTATGGAGTTTTCACTCACTAGATTCACATAGTCTAATTACCTTCCCCTGATTGCAGTAGAGGCTAAGCCCTGAGTTTGACATGTGCTTCCCTGTACAAGTTTAAGTCACTCTAAATGATCTGAAGACCGGCAAACCCTTCAATAATGGACACTAACTAGATTTATCCACAAATTATTGCATGAGAACATGTAGAGATTTCTGTGAAGCCTGTGCCTAATCATTAAAACCTAGAAGTGTGATCTTCTTTTCAGCACCATAAAGCACTGAAAACCATTTTTAACATGATGCTATAATTCATAATCAGTAAAAGATTTCCAAGTGCGTTGGAAGCTAAAATATGCTTTCAGAAATGAAATTGGTACTCTGTTACCATTAATGAGTGCTTTGAAAGATGTAGGGAGATACTTCTCCTCATTTTCAATAATTCTTCTTGTTCATTACAGCATTTGAAGGGGTAGAGGGTGGAAAGTAAAAATACCATTTTGAAGGCACAAAAATTTTAACTAGCAGCAGATGGTGAGACTGTAAAGAAACTGCTCCTCACATGAAACTTATGGAAATTGGCCTCTTTCTGCTCCAGTCACACATCATTTAGCTGCAGAATCAGGGGTCAGGGCAGTGCTTGCCATATGCTAACCCCGGTATATTTGCCTCTCACTGGTATAGATGCTACATTTCAAAGAATCTGATTTGAGCCAAAGCATGCTGTAATTTTTATAATAACAAGCCATGGCCTTTGCTGACATTTTACTACTGCCCAGTAATGAATTCTCTGGAGAGCTGGAAGCTGCTTTCTTTATATATATATGGCTTCATCTTACTTAAATCTCTCTGTAACAACAAGAAAAAAAAAACCTTAGCTTCCTACATGCAATTGAGTCTTACTCTTTGAGGACAAAGAAATTAAGGTTTTGTGCATGTACATCTGTGTGTGTGTGTGTGTGTGTGTGAGCGAGCATGCATGCGCGCGTGCGTGTGCACAGGTGTATGTATGTGTATATGTTTGGGGGGGTGAAAGAATTCGATGGAGAAACATTTATAATAGATATTTACACACAATATGGTTTTGTAAAAATACTTCTATAAATTCTTGAATATGCTTCCTTTCATCTTCCTGGTTGCTGGACTTTTTGGCTTGCTACATATGAAAGGAATATAAAAGAAGAAGTGAGGCCAGGTGTCTTTCAAGAATAAGTCTTAGCGTCTATCTAATTTTCTCTTAGATTACTTTGGAAACAAGGGTCACCATCTTGAAGGCACTCAAACAGTCCTTAGTGAGGTCCATGTGTAAAAGAACTAAGGCCTCTTGCCAAAAGCTGGGGATGACGTTTTGCCTTTGAGTCATAGGAGCTGACCCTCGTATCTTAGCCAAGGTAAGCTACAATGAGCACATGATTGAACACGTTGAGCCGAATGTTCTGTTAGGTCATGACCAAATTCTCAGCTCACATTTATTGTATGAGATCATAAAGTTTTCTATGAGTTTAAGTTGCTAAATCTTGTGACTGTTGTTGTTCTGCAATAAATTACTAACATTGGCAAGTTATTCTGTTCATTGCCTCAATTAAGATAGATACTGTCTTAGGCTTTGTATTGTTGTGATGAAATATAATGGCCAAAAAGCAAGATGGGGAGGGAGGTAAGGGTTTATTTTGTTTTGATTTCCTCATTGTTGCTTATCACTGAAGAAAGTCGATACAGAAAGTCAAACAGGGCAGGATCCTTGAGGCAGAAGTTGATACAGAGGCCATGGAAAGATACTGCTTACTGGATTGCTCAGCCTGCTTTCTATAAAATCCAGAACCACCAGCCCAGGAGGGCACCACCCACCATAGGCTGGGCCTTCCTTCATTGATCCCTAATTGAGAAAATGTGTTACATCTGGATCTCTTGGAGGCATTTCATCAACTGAGGCTTCTTCCTCTTTGGTGACTCCAGCTTGTGGTAAGTTGATACACAAAACCAGCTAGTATAGATAGCATCATTATGCATATATATGAGAACATTTTAATATCAATTTCAAAAAATAAAATTTAGTGAACTTAAAAATTATGACACAGTATTGATCATCGGATTTATATATCAGTAAGAATGTAATTTGCCCGCAAGCAAAGGAAAACACAGCATAAAAGGAACAGAAGAAATAATGATTAATTGTATTAGAGAGCACATAAGTCTTGGTTGCTTCTATTTTGTTTCTCATTATCAACATATAGCTTTGTACTCAAGCTCACCTGACAGCTATGATTCCATGGTTGTTTGCAACCATAATTTGAATGATATAAATGAAAGACACATTAGTTTTACCTTTTAATACCTTTGTAGTTCCTATGTTAGGAGAAAAACCTTTATCATATCTTTCTCCTGTAACACAGGGGCCACCAGTGCATTATGTATAGTTAAATGAAAGACTAAACAAATTGGCTATTGATATGTGCAGGGAGACAGCTTTGTAATGAAATTGCAAACTGACTGCTGACAATTCCAAAAAGCTAATCATCATTTTCTTTGTCCATTCTTCATCTAATGTAGGTTCAGATAAATCCATTACTTCATCCTTTTTGTTTTGCAAACACATACTAGTTAAGAAGGATATGTCCTCCAAGCCTCAACTAGTCACTAACTTCAGCTTAATCTTCGAGAACTATGGATGGTTTGCAGATTTCTTCATTATTACAAGAGTCAATGAAAAAAATAAAACAACAGGGGCTGGAGCTATGGCTCAGAGGTTAAGAGCATTGCCTGCTCTTCCAAAGGTCCTGAGTTCAATTCCCAGCAACCACATGGTGGCTCACAACCATCTGTAATGGGGTCTGGTGCCCTCTTCTGGCATGCAGGCATACACACAGACAGAATATTGTATACATAATGAAAAAATAAATATAAAAAATGTATAACAACAACAAAACATGTGCTATGCCACATTAATATTCTAAAAAGAAGATAGGACAAAATCTTACAGAGCCATAATTGCATGCAGAAGATAAGTGAAGGTCAGAAAGGAACCAGCATTGATCTTTGTCTTTTATTCCTAAGAACTGTGAAAAAAATAAATTTCTGTCATTAAGACTTTCCAAACTAGAGAACTCTATTATGACAACCACAGAAAACTAAACCAAGAGTTCTATCAACTCAGGACAAGCAGAAAAATGATTATGTCAAGTGACTTACAAGGGCTTACATCATTCTTCACAATGGGAAAAGTAAGTCCTGAATAAACTTAAATTGTATTCTTTTTACTTTGTTTTTATTGCATGTGTATGCGTATGGTATGTATCATGTGTATGTTTATCCATGTTCATATGTGAATGTGGGCATCAGTTTAACATACATGTCGAGTTCAGAAGGCAACTTTTGGATGTCAGTCCTAACCTTCCACCTTGTTTGAGAAATGGTGTTTTGATTGTTTTTCTCCTAGGAAGACCAAGCTTGTTAAGTTTTAGGGATGCTCTTGTCTTTGCCTCACATCGTTGCAGAGCAACACCAGAATTACAGAAGCTTGTGTTTTGAGTGCAGTTTTTATGTGGTTCTTGAGGATTACGGTCACACATGTCTATGCAAAGTGCTTTCACGCACTAAGTGATTTCAAGAGCCCCTTAAAAAAATTTAAAATAAGGTTAAATAATTAATAGATAAAAATGATGCTGAGTTCCTATGACCCTGACATATTTGATTCTGTGAGCTATGCTCTTGTGGTGTTCTTGACCCTTCTGGCTCCTATAATACTTCCTTACCTTCTTCTACAGTGTTTTCTGAGCGCCACCGAATGTTTGGTTGTGGGTCACTTCATCTGTTCCTGTCAATTACTGGATGAAGCTTCGCTGATGATGATTATGCTAGGCTCTGGTCAGTCTGTGAGTATAGCAGAATATCATTGACTTTTTTTCTTTTTGCCAGTCACGCTTTGTTCTATCCTAGGTCCCTGGGCTATCCAACTTCTGGATCATGGACATTGAGGCACTGTCAGATGTGGGCTCCTTATCATTTGTGTGAACTTAAGTTGGACCAGTCATTGGTTGACCACTCCCACAGTCTTTTGCTACCAGCACATCTTTATATCTTGCAGCGAGGACAAACTGTAGGCCAAAGGTTTGTGGTGATGTTGAGATCACACTTGCACCACTAGAACCCTTGCCTGATTACAGAAAATGGCCAGTTCTGGCTCTGTGTCCTCCATTGCTAGGAGTCTTTGTTAGAGAAGCAAGTTACAATCAGAGAGACTGTGTGTGTCTGAGCTAGGTCCTCTGCATACATGTTATGATTGTTATCTTGGTTTTCTTGTGGGACTCATAACAATGGGACTGGAATTATCTCTGACTCTTTTGTCTGCTTTTGCAACCCTTTTCCTCCCACTGGGTTGCCTTGTCAACCTTGATATGAGGGTATGTGCCTTGTCTTATTGTGGATTTCTCTGGGAGGCCTGCTCTTTTCTGAAGGGAACTGGGAGAGAAATGGATCTGGGGGAGAAGGGAGGTATGGGGTGAGGACTGGAAGGAGTGTAGGTAGAGGAGACTGTGGTTGGAATATAATGGGTGAGAGAAGAATGAATAAAAAATTGTGCTGAGTTTGAGAAGAATCAAAAAATGTTAAGGATAACTTATTCTCAGAATTAGAACTAAAAATTCATAATAAAAAGATATATTTAATTAAAACAATAACATTATATGTTGTGATATGTAATCGTTTTGTTATTCATGAAACATACTTGCAAGTAAAGAAGATTTAATCAATCAGTTTATAACTGTAGCAGATTACCAATGACTTCTATATAAACATTTTTCTTTCTCTTATAAGACTCTGATTTACAGAGTTTTAAGAAATAAATAAATAAAATGAGATAGTTTTGAGGACTATTTTTTTTTTTGTTTCCTTAAATAGTGACCATGTTGGTGACAAATCCAAGGGGGGATAAATCAAAGGGATGGACTTCAAGTGACACGCGACTAGGAGCAGCAGAGTGGGAGTCAGCACGTGGGAATGATCTATAAAGAACAGCCACAGTCATGGAGCAGATGGAGTAAGTGGTGGCAAAGCAGCAGATGGCACAGAGAATGCTGGGGAGGAAGATGGAGGGGTGATGACCAGAATCTGTTTCTGGAAGGCTTTTCATTCATCACAAAACTTTTTGAGAAACTTGAGGGTATTTGAAATGACTGAAAGACAATGAGCTGCATTGCATCCTGTGTCCTAGCTATCGATTTCAAACACATAGAAAATCCAATTCTTATAATTGTTAGAATATAAGCAATATATCCTTCATTCGCTGGTATCTAAAACAGTGGGTCTAAGTACAATGCAGAAGTCATTACATGATGAAGGATCTGAATACAACTGCTTGGTTTTCTGTTTCTACGGAAAGGATTAGTAAGAACATGTCATATTTATTTGTCTCTCTGGGTGTATATGTGTGCATGTGTGTGTATATGTTTACCACGTGGGTGTGTACCTAAAGGTCAAAAGAGAGTGTTGGCTCCCCTAAGCTCCAGTTACAAGTAATGGCGAGCCCCCTGATGTAGAGGCTGGGAACCAAAGTCAAGTCTCTGTCAGAGTTGCACCCACTCTTAGCCACTGAGCCTTCTCTCTAGCCCCTGTACCAAACATTTTAAAACAAGTATTTTTAACCTGATAAGAAAACTGGGGGTTCTTTCATGTAAACTGGTTTTTAAGTGTGCAAAATGTTTGGTTACTCACATTAATCAAGGGGACTCAAGGGTTAAATATAGAGCATCTGGAATACTTAAGCACTGATAAAAAGATTTCTCTGATGGATGTCATTATTCAGAATGAATCTTTTAGATTTTTATGTTTAATTGACCAGAAAATTTCTTCTTTGTCCTTGTGCAAAAAAAATGCCATTATCAAATGGCAGGAAATGACTAGGTTCTCACATTTATATCACATGAATTTTTGTTACAGACAGATGAATAATATGGCAAACATTTGGTCTTTACGTCTCGTAAGCCTGTCATAACTCAATTCCTAGAATCTGACTTTGACTTCATCAACATCAATGAAATATCATTAACAGATTCTCCAGGGCATATTTTTCTAATTATGGTTTAATTTTATTTGACCTCTCAGTAAGCCTTATCTAGCTACTTCTCTTTATATTATTTATATTGAGTATTCTCAAGAATTCTGAAGAATAGGGTTCAAGTTGGAACTCATTTTATTCTTTCTTCTCCACATGTGAACTAATGAAAAAACCAGAAATTCCAGTTAAAGAAAAAAAAAACAAAAATTCAAGTTAATATTCTTATTTATTCAAATATATATAACATATCTTCTTCTTTTCTGTATTCATCACCAAGAAAGAGGCTCATAATGTATTTTTCTTCTAGTCAATAAACACTGCCTTTTCCATTGGTCCTCATTCAGTCTAAAGTTAATTTCTATTTTTTCTTCTCTGAACCATACCATGCCTTGTTCACTAATATTATTATATGCAGTTTCCTTCAAACTTCTTTTCCTCTGCTATATTCAAAAAAGAGAACTCTTTTCTAAAGTAAGTCATCCAAGTATATATGTTTGTATTGTTTTATTATATATGTAATACGTATTTAAAACTTATTGAGTATGCAATTTTAAAAAAATTAATCAGACTAAAATGTAAAAACTGGTATTTCTCATATGCCTGTGGCTTATTCTATTCATTAGTTTACCATTCCCATAGTGTATCATCCCTAAAACTTGTCTGTTTGTCCATATAGAACTCATTTTTCTCTTAGTAATGACAACATTCCTCTCATAAATATCAAATATTAATGATATTTGATCCACTTTTCCTCCTGTTTATCACCTCTTGCCCTTTCTTAAAGCATGCTTCCCTATTTTCCTGCCCATGAACAATCTTGTAGATGGAAGGGCCCTGGAATCTTCCCTCTAACTTCCTTGACAGTGAGATTTTTATGATAGCCACATTATCTGCTAAGTTTAGCTCAATGAATTCCTTTAAGTTTACCTCATTAAGTCACAATA